ACTCTCTAACTCTTACCACTGAACTTATTTTAGAGAGATTTGGTACAACAATAGTCGATAGAATAGTTTTTATCACTCAAACCTTACGTGATCGGGCACTGTACGGGTAAGATCCCTGCGGGATTATTTATTTATTGAAAGAAAGAAAGAAAGAAAGAAAGAAAAAAAGAAAGAAAAAACATTTATTTAGGTCCGGGCACAAAACTACGATAAATCATTTCAAAATAGGTAAATCTTACTTGGGCACTGAATTGATTCTGATTAATTCTGTCAGAAGTCATTAATCTACGCGGACGAAGTCGCGGGCAACAGCTAGTTATGTTATAATTCGTTGCGCAGCATACCGTGTGCACGTGCTGGCCACACTGCCAGGAGTTAAAGAAATGAGCTACACTTGCGACCGGAAACCATAAACAAAGATTTTTAACTGATGTCCATTTTAGACTTTAGTAATGTATTAAGACAGAATGACTTAAGCCAGGGCTGTCCAAACAAAGGCCCGCGCGGCGGTTTCATGTGGCCCGCGACACACATTTTAATCTGAACATCTACATCTTTTGTGTAACAACAATAATAAAATACAGTGTATGATTTGTATGCAAGTTTTGTCTGTGACTGAACAATACATTGTTAAGCGGTATAGAACTGGTAATATTTTACTGGCCCTCCAGCTTTTCTAAGAAATTTAATAAGCCCGCGAGGATATATAGTTTGGACAGCCCTGAATTAAGCCTAATGGCACAAAAAATACTGCCCATCTGGGAGAAGCCCAGTCGCCAAGTACTATTGTAGATCCTGGCATACAGGACTTGCAGCTGTTTTGGGTGGTTGTGACGGGCTTGTCCCATTAAAAAGAAATTGTTGTATGGAGTATCAGTCAAAAGTCTAGGTCATTCTAGAGATTTCAGATGATAATTAAAATATTAGCTGTTATTTTATTACATTTACTCTCGTCCATCGGGGCTGCTGGCATCACACATTTTTTTTTTTATATAAACCTTGCCCTACACTTTTTTTTATAAGGGGGGAAAATTATCGAATTACTTCTCCCACCTGGGTAAGGCAGGAAGGAGTGTCAGACTCTTACTGACTAAAAACCACCCCGTCCCTACTCCTGCCCTTCGAGCAGGAGCCCCGGCAACGCGTTGAGTCCTCCGCCTAGGATTTTCTCATGTGTCGTGGGTGCAATTACAAATATACAAATTCACATCCAAATCACACCCAGACCAGAAACAAACCGGAATATTATTTATTATTATTAATTACTGGAACCGAAATCGTCCAGCCACCGCATCTACCGTGCAATCAGTCTGTGTCTACTGTTTACCTACATGAAAAAATAACAAACGCGACCGTAATAAGCACTTGATTAATTTTCACATGGCCGACTTTAATCTCAAAACTGCATTCACGCTGTTCATACACAGCTGTGTGTGTCTGAAGCTAAACATCCAATTGAATTTTATACAATTTTTGTTTATAAAAATGAATTGGTTAATTTGCAATAAATAATATTACATTGTACAGTGGCATTAAGTGCCGTAATGTGCACCTCTGCCTACCCTCCGGGGATAAAAGGCTTAAATAAATTGTTAGGTATACCACGGAAATCCAGTCTACATTCATAGGTATCTCTTTATAAAGAACTTGCAGAAAAATGTCACCTTTATTTTTTCTTTGTTTGTGTATGGTAGAAGTAGAAGTACAATTAATGTTATAGAGAGGTACCTATTACCCAATGAACTCAAGTCGCTCATAATTGAATTTAGTTCTTAACAAAGTTTTTCAAACATTGCGTAACGTTGTTGTTGTTTTTTTAACAATTATATATCATCATCATCATCAACAGCCTATAAATGCCCACTGCTGAGCAAAGCCTCCTCTCACACGGAGAGGGTTTGAGCATTAATCACCGCGCTTGCTCAATGCTGGTTGGCGATTTCAAACTTATAATTAGAAATTATAAGCCCAGGTTTCCTCACGATGTCACCTTCACTGTTTGTCAGTGGTGTCTGAATAATCTTAGAAAGTACATATAACTCGTAAAAAGTCACATTGGTACTTGCCGTTGGTATGTTTCGAACCCGCATCCTCATGCATGAGAAGCGGGCGTCTTAAACCTCCGGGCTACCACGACAATTATATTTGAAAATCGTTAATTTCGCTGCAATTCTCATAAATTCAGAGTTTCACGGTCATTTTACCTGTTACTGAAATTTTTTTCCTTTATTTAGGTATCTAGGATCCTTTGAACTAACCGAACATGTCGAGCCCATTAGGTAAAATATATATGCACACAATATTTTGAGGAGTGCTAGGAAATAGGATAATAAAGATACTATACATAGATCGCGTGGCGTCATCGATACTTACACGTAAAAGTACTGATAAGAGATTTCTAGGGAAAAACACAATAATATATTTTGAAGTGTATCCTATGGACGTCGATGAATCATAGCATTTGCGAAGTTATCTACAGATAACGTCCAGACTTATTTATATAGCTGCTTGCGTCCTGACTTCACATACAGTCCTGTCCTGTATATAAGTGTAAGCGTGCGTGCGACCAACTTACTGTACCCACGGATTTCAATACCTAAAGAAGCATATACCTTCTAATAATGTAAGTATTTATTGAAATTCTATTAAGTCTGCTTATTAATTCGTCTTTGTACTTACTTTCAAACATAAGACCCATTGACGAATCATTTTAAGTTTATTATCAAATGCATACTTAATTAGTATAAAGTAATCAAAGCTATGATATTTATTAATACTTGTTTCTGATTTAGGTTATTGATAGAAGTACCTAATAAATATTTGTTTCGATTGGTATATTTCCATTGATATAAACGCTTGCTTTTATTATCTGTTACAGAATGGCTGACTCTGATCGCATTGTGTACCCTGACGAGGTCGCCGAGGTCAAGGCCGACGCTATTGCTGCAGCAGAGGCTGAAAACAAGACCTCAAGTGATGACAGCAACACTGTGGAGACTCCAGCTCCCGGAGAAATCACAATGAGGAATGCAATCACAGTTCCTACCAACTGTCCACCTGGTTATAAGATGGGAGCTGACGGCGTTTGTCGTGAAGTCTTTTAACTATTTGTACGTTAAACTAAGTTTGCAGCTAAAGAGGTTCGAGTATATTTTTGCGTATAGGTATAATGTAAGATCGTCAGTATTTTAGAATAGATTTCGCAGCAACTAAATGTGTTAAGTGACCCCACTACAAACGGTTCCAGTGACAAATGAACTTCTAAAATTAAATGCAAGCACATGACATTATTATACCAGTATTATTAAATCGAATTGGTGATGTATTTTGTATGTATGTGTTTATTTAGTTGTTAATGAAAATAATAATATTATGTTGTATTAATTAAACGTTAAGTAATATTTAGTTTTTCTACTTTCCTTTGGATTCGTAACTATAAGAATTTTATGAATGGGAATATGAGTCGTAAGGCTGGTAAAGTAAAGGCTAGACGAACATAAACGAAACCATTAGTGATTCTCGAAAAGTATCAGGTGCAGACTATTCTAAACATATTACTTCGAGGTGGCGCTCTGTACCATTCTGGAGACTGAAGGTGACCTGGATTCCGCACAGCACAAGCTTGCGGAGTGCCCAGTGTGGGTCTCTGAGCGGTAGATCCTGGTTGCCAGGATCGGACAAGACCTGGTAGAGGCCAGCCGTAGTTTGTTGCGATTCTGGCATAGATAGAAAATTGGAGTGACGTGGCCTCCTTTTATGAGACGGTATGGTCTCAAAAGGAGACCGTTAAGCTGGATCGCTAGAAGGCCGATCCTCTACTCGTAGATGGCGCAAAGGCAAAGGCTTCGGCTTCTAATACACGGATATCCTGTCTGCATTACCTGGAGGCAGATTTTTGGGACCGAATGAGAACTTTAACAAAGGTTCCTTTTCTGTCCCATGGGAACGAAACTGGCAGTCAATAGCCACGGCGTCTGTCGTGAAGTCTGGACGGACGAGCACGATGGCTGGATACTCTGCATTGCCCCGGTTCAGGCACTGCTGTGATATCTCCAACTTCTTATGTTACTTATTACTTACTTATACTAAATCTTACTTCTAAAATCTTGCTTTCTAAACCCTCAAATGAATTTAATAGGTAAGTAGTTTTGTTTAATTTTTGAATAAAGTGCGTCTTGAGGAAATGAATGTTTTTCCAGTTGGAGAGCTATTTTAAACACCCATTATGTTATAGATATTTGTGTTGACCCAACCAAACAAATGATTTGGTAACTAAAACAGGTGACGACAGCAGCATTTATTTAAATAGGTAGGAATTTCATATGATAGGAGTATCTCTATTAGTGATATAATTTTGCTGCTTTTTAGACAAATGTCAAACCAGTGGCCATTTAGAGATTTCAGCCTATTTATTGTAAGAGAGTAAACTAGAAGGATCGAAGATTCGATTTAGGTTGGACCTAAAATTGGACATTAAACCATCGAGGAAGATTTTTAAAGTATGGTGATATTCTTAAAACAATATTTAGTTCCTACAATTATTTATTTTTTGCTAATGAAGCTAGACGAAGGCGAGTGATATTGTCTGCGTTATTCTGTCGTTGTCCGGAGGAAGGAGGTAAGCTGCCCGGAGCCAGATGCGATGCTGTGTTGTAGGTCGCATCACGATGGACTGGCAATATTGTGTTCGCAGCGACTGTGCCATACTTTCTATACAGAAACCTACTTACTCACTATAAAACCTTCGTAACATAACATCCCTATTAGCTACTATGCACCACTTACATAAATATATTCTCAAATGTTGCGATATCAAATAAAACCCATTTGTTTTACTAATAATTAACGATCATTTACTTTAAAATATTCATATAATTACATAATAATGTCTAACTCCTTCTGTGATAATTAAAAACATAGGGTCTAAGTTAAAAAATTAAATATCATATCATACTATAACCCTGACATCGTAAAATATTGTTGATATTCGCCTACAAAAATTATAAATAACCGAGCGTTGCGTAAGTTTTAACAAATGGAGCATCACTTTCGCAGGAATTTCTGAAAAAGAAAAAAGAATAGTGTTAGCACATTAACCTACCTCGCAGAGGTACACAACCACTGCCCTACAATCAAAGGCGGATTCAACATAGGGAGCGCTCTGACAAGCCTCTTAGGCCCCTAATTTCTTTTAGCGCCTCGGCTACTCTATAGGCAATGGGCACGCACGTCTCGCGGCGCATCTCTTTAACCTGGCGCCACAGGCACTTGCCTAGTTTGCTTTAGAGATAATACAGCTCTCCCTACAATTCATGCTCTCCACACGTCTTTCTTTTAACTATAGCATCTGAAGTACCGACCAAAATATTTAGATCCCCATCGAAGCAGGACACACTAAAAATAGTCTGAAAAAGCAACTTACGCATACATTTTGCATCGATTATTTCCATTGGAAATCGCCAACATTATATGATCTTTATCTCGCTCCATAGATGTTATTGTGATCAAGTACACGTTACACCAAAAATATATAAATCTGTAATGTTTTGTGAGCGTCTTTGAGATCTCTAATAAGAGTTTTACTTGGTAGTGAAGTATGAACTAAATCTGCTTTACGATCAAATAAAAAATGAACTAGGCACTACAATAACGTGGAATAATTGGATAATGGTGAGTCTGCGTGCCAATCACTACGAAAAAAATACAAACTAAAATGATAGTGGACATAAAAAAATATTTAATTTATTTGATATCTACATACTCGTCACTATATACAAATAAATTTCAAAGTAAATAAAAAAAAACATAAAGCGAATAAAATTATAGTTAGATACAGTAACATAATAACTCTAATAAATTGTGCGTGATTTTGGAAATCATTTCACTAAGTATGTGAACATAACTTTTGTAACTTGGTGGTAATTTTCATGCAGTAACTCTACATCATGCTGAAGCATGTCTATACAGGTACGACACACTTGTAACACTACGCCTACACCACGAAACTCTCAAACTGGGAAAACACAACACATATAATACTTGTCTACCAAATGCATCTGCTACCGGAGGCACCACACGCGGACTTCTGCGTGGAACTCATCCCATAATCGAAACTACATCCATACACATACTACCGCGGCATTCGATGCACAAACTAAACTCACGAGTACTTACTCGTCCTCCCATGGACATATGTCGTTCCGCTGCTTACGCTCACCGATGCCGCTTTTATTATCACGCTTAACAATATTGGTATCAGAGACCGACGTCAGTTCGTCTTTATGAGCAATAGTTTTCGTCGCGTCCACGTCGGACGCCGCCTTGGAATCTTCCGAGACCCTTTGCAGTGGCGCCGAAGGCACTTTGTCTACGTTGTCGTCGTCGACCCCGATATCCTCGCAGACTGCGAGCGGCGCTACGGGCGAGCGCGGCGCCGAGCCTGTAGGCGCCGTACTCGTCGGCTCCACCGTCGCCGAGCTGCAAGGCTCCGGCGCCACACACTCGGCCGTCTTCACCAGCTCCGACTGGGCCACGCTCGGCGCCGTGTTCCCCGCCGTGCTCGGTACTGTCCCCAGCGCACTCGACGGTACAAGCACCACTGCGCTCGACGGCACACTAGCCGGCGCACTTGCCAGTTCGCTTGTTGACTCCACTACTTGAACAGAGCTTATCGTAGTATCGTCACTCTCGGACGTATTCTCTGGAAGATCGCCGATTTTGCTACTTGTATCTTTACTTGAGGCCGGACTGGTTTCTTTTATCGTTGACGATTCGCGGGACAGCACACGTTGCACCGATACTACGTCGTCTTCAGACGATCGCGTTCGGTCGGAATCCCTGGAGTCTGAAACGGCGCCCGAAGCGGACGAGTCGTCATAGGATTCTACCGAGGGTGCGCACACCACTGACTCCAACACGGACCGAATTCTCACGGTTTCGTGTGGCGCCTCTTCCTTTGAGCTATCACAACCTGGATCTGGGGGAGCCATGGGCCCTTCGGTGACGGGCGCCGATCGCTCTTCACCCTTGAACACGGGTCGCATCGGTTCCGTGGGAGTCGCGTCTGCCGATGCGAATACCGACGAAGGTTCATCTGAGTGCGCGATAGATCGCGGCTCGTCAGGCGAGGCGGTGCCAGGAGGGGAACCGGCCTCATCATCGTCGGGTGCAGAGCTGACACTGATGGTGGGCGTAGGGTGCGGGGGCGCGTGCGCGAGGGGCGCGGGCGCGGGCGGCGGGCGTGGGGGGCGCGGCGAGTGCGGCGGCGAGGCCAGCGGCGCCAGGTGGCGCGGCTCCACGGCCGACAGACGGCGCAGCGGCGGGGGCGCGCCGCGCAGGCCGCCGTCCAGCGTGCTCTGCTGCGGCAGGCGCCGCGTGCGCTCGCTGACGGCGACGGCCGCGCTCACGTCGGACGACGAGCTCCCCGAATCTGCAGCAGAGTCTTGGCGTCGCCTACTGGCACTGCCGTACACCACCTCCCGCGAGGAACACTCCCACGGTAGTACGTCGGCCGTGTCGTCATCGAGAGGATCTCTGTATACAAAAAAAATGTTAGTATTTTTTTACTTAAACAAAATAATCGTTATGGTTGGAGGAACGAGGTTAAGAGACTTTAATGACAACTATAATTATGTATATCCAAGTTGTTTGTTGGAAAGGAGGTATGAAGCAAAATGAATTGTGTAAATCACAATAGTACCTAAGATTGCCTCGTTGGTCGAGTGATTGAAAATAGGACTGCCGGGCAAGGGGTGTCGGGTTCGATTCCCGGGTTGGACAAAGTTTTACTGGGCTTAAAAAAAAATCTTTCTTTCTTTTTTTCTTCTTTCTTTAAGTAGTGAAAAGTGGGTGGTGTGTGTCATGTACCGTAATGTGGTCCCCTGCCTACCCCTTCGGGGATAAAAAGGCGTGATGGTATGTTAGTACCGAGTTAGTAGTAAGAGAAGAAGACTAATTGAAAATGTAGGGAAAGTTATTTTTAAATGGTTTGCCCAGATATTTGTTTGGGCCAAATTTAGTAATTGGTATTTTTAAATAATTAATTAAGTTAGGTTCATTTAAAAATGTAGTGGCATCGTAAATAGGATATTACCATTTTTTTTCGTCAGAATTTTGTGGTCGGAGTTTTTGGTTTTTGTGGTCGAAGGAAAAAGTGATTCGAAATAACCTGAAAGTGGTGATATCGCAAAGGTTGGACTGGGAGTGGCTGTGGCTGGGCTGGTCGGGCGGGCGCGGGGCCTGCGCCGCGCACACGGCCAGCTCGTGCGCCGACCCCGACAGCGAGCGGTCCGAGCCGCGCCGCCGGGACAGCGCCGCGCCGCCGCCGCCACTCGTCGAGCCCGGCTTTTTCTTTACTTGACCACCGAAGTTGAAAAACCTATACAAAATATGATAACGTGTAGAGCTACAACTTAGGTTGATTGGTTTAAAACACACAGGTATAAGTTTTATTTTTGAAAGACAAATAAGAAGTTAAAACATTCCGTATTGAAGGATAACATTACAAAAGTACAAATAGATAATATGAATATTAAAAGAAATTACGTATCTGCTCGAAGCGGTAACGAGTATGGACGGACGGCACAATCCTTTTACAATAATTATTGAACTACAAGTTTTTGCTCACTTTTGAACCTCGTCTGTAACAAGTCCAACTAACTTAGCCTTCTTCTGATGCACGTTTCTGCCCTCAGTGAGCAGTCGCTGGAAGTGGTCAGATCTGACGAAGCGCGGGTAGCAGTCCTTCTTGAGCAGCAGTCCGTAGACGTGCTCGGCCGCGTGGTCCAGCGCGTACCGGGACCCGCTGCGCAGCCCCTCCGTCACGCGCTCCGCCGTGGCGCCGTCGATGTTGATCTCGCACGGCGCGCCCGGCTTCAGAAACTCTCTGCCGAGTATGACGACAACTCGTTAGAACACAATCATAGCAGCTGCTGCAGCTCATAATTTTACTTTTAGTATTTTGCAGAAATCACGTTACAATGAAAAATGCATACTCATAGATTTCTTCAAGTTTCTTTGGTATCTGCTTGGTACTGCTGCGCCGCAGATCCATGACCGCCAGCCAGAACCTTATATTCTCGTGTGAGTACTCCTTGCGCAGGAAGCTGGTAAACTCCTGCAGCCCCGTCGGGTCAGACACCAGTTCGTCGATAGACAACGCCCAGCGCTGGACCCGCTTCTCACTCGGCACCTCCACACTAAACGCAAAAATGCTGTCTTATTGGTACTTTTGCATCCAGGATCTTAAAATAGAGTTAAAGTTCAGGAAGAACGACCAAATGTTTCTGGTAAGATCTAAACACTATAAGAGGAAACTCGTGTGAGTAATTATCTCAGTTACAAAATAAAGAAACGTTTCAAGTGGTCAGGCATGTAAGGTAGTGTCTACTTGTACAGGCGTAGTACTGAACTCACAGAGGGCTGTTAATTTGCCAGAATAGGGTGTCGTCGCTGACCCAAGGGTTGGAGGGCTGCGGCGGGGTGAGCCAGGGATCGTAGGGAGTGAAGGTCTCCGAGTAGGCCAAGAGGGCCTCAAGGGCAATTGAAGTCTTCACTCTCGTACGGTCCAGACTCGCTTTTAGATGCTCAATCTAGAAGTAGAAAGTTAATAGAAGATTTTTAGTTACATCTAAATACCGAAAGCGTGGATACCAAGTTCTAGAGAAGTGTCACTACAAGTACTTACATTATCTACAATGGATTCTAAAGAAATATGGAATTCTAGTAGAGCTACAGATTTAAGTGTAGGGCAATACAAGACAATATTAAAAGTCGTACCTCACGAGTGACTTGATGCACAGAGCGCTTCTTGACGCGATGGTGTCGCGCGCGCACGGGCACGGGACAGGGCTCCAGCGCGCTGGCCACGCCGGGCGGCGGCCGAGCCACGCGCCAGTATGCGCGCTCCTGGCTGTCACTCACTATCTTGTCACCTTTCTTTCTCTCCTTTGCCAGACGAACCTGTTTGTGGCGCCGTACATTACAATTAATTACTTACTATGTCACATAAACCAAGAAATTTGCCTGTTACTGAACTACTGTTAGCTTTTAGGATGGAAGTTTTGGTTAATGTAAAAACTTCTTTTGAAAAATACTTATACAAATATAAAATGAGGTGGAAGTATAAAGTATAGTCACCTGTTCCTCCGCCTGCATAGTAATAAAGTCCCATTTCGCAGCAAGATTCTTCTTGAGGTTGGCGAGGGCTTCCTGTTCGTACTCTTCGAGGCCATGTCTCTGCTTGTTACGTAATGTCCGCTTCACCAGGTAAATAGCGTACTCCACATTGTCTGGGCCCAATGTCGGAGCGCTCGAGCTCCCCGCCACGCGTGGCGCTTGCCATGGCCAGTAATATGGACTCTGACGATCAAAAAATACGCCGTTTAGGATAACTTTATAGTACATAAACAAATGTGGACACAACTGATAGGGGCTGGATTGTATTTCGAAAGTTACAATTCCCACATAGAACAAATATTATTTGCCTGATTAATAGATATTTCTGACTCATACTATAAATAAACTGGGAATTACTCCCGAGTTCTAAAAGTCTTAGCTGTAAAATCTCTTGTCAGGTCTCATAGAGTTGCTAGAAGCCTGATTACACTGAAGTCAATACTTGATATGTACGGCACTTACGCACCGTCAGTCAGTGTCTAAGTTGCAGCTACGCAATAGTCATTACGTAGAGCGCGTAATAGTAGTGTAGATGCCACGTATTAGGTCAAATACACATCGCGTAGTGTTTCGTAATCGATGTGTAGTATTCGTAGCAGCCACATTGACTTGTATTAGCGGCGTAGACGCAATGTAGGTCTGCTACATCTTACGTAGTAGCCGTAGAGACCGCGTAGGAGTGTAGATGCCACGTAAATCGTCTAGACACTGCGTAGAGTTTCGTAGTCGATGTCTAGTATTCGTAGCAGCCACATAGAGCGTGTAGTAGCGGCCTAGACGCTATGTAGATTTGCTACATCTTGCGTAGTAGCCGTGGAGACCGCGTGGAGTGTAGATGCCACGTAAGTCGTCTACACACTGCGTAGAGTTTCGTAGTCGATGTCTAGTATTCGTAGCAGCCACATAGAGCGTGTAGTAGCGGTGTAGATGCCACGTAGGTCTGCTACGTCTTGCGTAGTAGCCGTGGAGATCGCGTAGTAGTAATTTAGATGCCACGCACGTCTTCTACACACTGCGTAGAGTTTCGTAGTGAAGGTGTAGTAGTCGTGGTACTCAGAAGAACTGTACCAAGTTACGTAGACGCGACGTATCGCTTCTATACATTTCGTGGTGTGGCGTAGTTAGTACGCGTAAAGTTTGACCAAGCAATTGCTACATAATTTCAACTAAAACGTACTTGTTGTTCTCGATCGACAAAAGGGAGAACAATTTATGTTTTTGTTTTATTTATTTTCTTACCTGTATGTACCAAAAAGTTAGCTGACTATACATGAATGAATTTTCTCATATTCACACAAATTTATTAATACACATTTTTACTCACTTGAAATCTGTAAAGAGAAGAATCGTCCTTCAACACGAGGTTTTTCAAATCGTTGACAGGAAAGAAGTAGCCATATTGACACAGCTGATTGGCTAAGTTTATTGCTTCAACTGAAAGTAGGAAATAATTCATATTAATTTAAATAACCGTAAAACATTAGTGGAGTAAACATGTGTAGTAAATAAAATTAAACAATAATAACGTGATTTGGCTAAATCCAGAGAATATAAATACTGCTGGACAGCTTATGGGAAAGTTTATATCAAGAAAGAAGACAATTCACCTACTATCGTTATAAATAGTGAACAGCAGGTACAAAACCTTTTACAGCTCCAGTGACTAGTTTTCAGAAAATTACAATATATCAGCTACATTTTATACCTTCATAGATTTCTTAAAGTTATAAAATTAATCATAACCAAGTTAGACACTAATTTCAAAAATGTGTTATGTTTTGTTTACCGATCGCACCACAACATTTATTCTTCAATGCGTAAAACTACCTTCAATTCTAATACCAAACTCCTAAACATTCGAATCACGCATATCTCTTTTCACTCACACGAAATACACACACTCACACAGACACACACAATCATTCTCACTCTCACACGACATACAAATACGAATTTAATCATATTATCCACTATTTATAATCTTTATCATAATGGATACCAATCGACAAGCTCTGGATGACATCGACAATTCCGAAATAGCTCAAGTGTTTGATTGTAGTATTACTGACTTTGCCAAGTTGGTTAAGGTCGGCGCGTCTGATTTTTCCATTGTGTCACAGAACATTAGATCTGTTTATACTAACTTTGATGATCTCCAATTGAACCTATTTAATCTTGGTATGGGAATTGATCTCATAACCTTAACGGAATGCAGATTGAACTCAAATAAACCAATACCCCAAATTACTAATTATACTTCGTTTCAAACTACAAACCACATGAATAAGGCGGATGGGGTAGTCGCTTACATAAAAAGTATACACAAGGCAAAAATTAGAGAAGTGAAGTTAATACATGCGTCTTGTTTGGAGGTACATGTTGCACCTGACATTATAGTTGTAGCGATTTATCGATCCCCATCGACTTCGAATGCTGACCAATTTATTAGCTCTTTGGACGATTACTTGACTGCTCTTACATCAACTAAAACCATAATAATAACCGGAGATATAAATATTAACTTAATATATAATGATAATGAGCAGTCGTGCGAGCGTTCAAACAGACATAGCTATCTCAATATGTTAGCAATGCATGGCCTACTTCCCGGTCACCTGCTTCCCACTCGTGAAAAGTCCTGTCTTGATCACTTTATAATAAAACTGAAACCAGGTAGCCAAACTCCAACTGTTGCAATTATTCACACTACAATAACGGATCATTTCATGACTTTCTTAAAAATCACTTGTCATAAAAACTTAATTAGGCAACGGAAAATAAGGAAAGTTTTTAATTTAAAGGTTGGGTTAGAACACCTAACAGTTTACAACTTAACGGATTTATTGAAACTTGACAACCCTAACACTATTACAAATAACTTAATCAAAATACTACAAAATTGTGTCGAACTCAGTACAACTACTATGAGCATCCCTTTGAAAAATAGAACCCTAAAACCATGGATGACCGTTGGTTTACTGCGCTGCATCTATAATAGAAATCACATGCAAAAGAGACTTAGGCTTGATCCATATAATGAAGTGTTGAAAATCACATACAAGAGATATCGAAATTACTGTTGTACTATCATTCGAAAACAGAAACGTAAGTATGAGAGAGACCAACATACTAAAGCATCTAAAAATCCCAAAAAAACATGGGCTATAATTAACGACATCACACAACGCAAACCTAAAAAAGACAATAACTCGGAACTACTACATAGTCTCACTGATCCACAAAACTCTGTAGAAAAGATCAACGAATATTTCTGTAATATAGGCAAATTGCTTGCTGAAAGCATCATCACCTCTCAATCTTCAACAACAACACGTTATAACACTGACTCATTTTCTTCTAACAGTCTTTTGACATCATTTGTTCTTCTTGATACAGACCACGACGAAATTCGAGCGACTTTAATGAGCCTGAAATCAGACAGTGCCCCTGGCTGGGACAAGATACATGTCAACTTTATAAAAGCTGCACACATACAAATTGTACCAATTTTGACTCACCTAATTAACATATGCTTCAGGTATGGAATCTTCCCGGATGCTTTAAAAATTGCACTAATAACACCAGTATTCAAGTCTGGCGAAAGAACCGACCCATCTAATTATAGACCAATTTCAGTGCTACCATGCATTTCGAAAATCTTTGAAAAGATCATCAACTCACGTCTGATGAAGTTCTTAAACAAATATAAAATACTCTCACCCTCTCAGTACGGGTTCAGGCAGGGAAGGTCTACTGAGGATGCAGTTTTATCACTAACATCTGTTTTGGTGGATGGTGTGGATCGGGGAGACAGGTGTTTAGCGGTTTTTCTTGATCTTAGGAAAGCTTTTGACACCGTGTCTACACCTCTTCTATTGCAGAGGCTTGAACACATAGGTGTAAGGGGACATGCCCTTGAACTGTTTACATCTTACCTCAGCAATCGCAAACATAAGGTCAAAATCACTTCATATTCTAGTTCGGAGGCATCGGTAACCTTCGGCGTTCCACAGGGCAGTGTCCTTGGACCGACCTTGTTCCTTATCTACATCAATAGCCTCTGTAACATGAAGATTGAGGGAGGGCATATTTTCTCTTATGCTGACGACACTGCCATCGTCTTCACTGCGAAGACTTGGGATGAGGTTCGTGGGTTGGCAGAGAATGGTCTTGCGAAGATAGCAGCATGGCTAAACCATAGCCTCCTAACGCTAAACGCTTCTAAATGTAACTACATCTGCTTTACTAAGTATAATAATTCGCAACCGCCTCAAGATTTCCAAATAAAAGCCCATATTTGCCACCACTTCCCAGCACTAGACTGTTCCTGTCTACCAATAGACAGGTTGCAGCACACCAAATATCTTGGCATCATGATTGATCAGCGCTTATCTTGGCACATGCACACCGAACTTATTATGAATAGAGTTAGGAAACTTATATGGTTGTTCAAAACATTGCGACATGTGACTTCAAGGCAACTCCTGAAGCAAGTTTATATGTCTTTAGCGCAGTCTATCCTCATGTATTGTTTGCCTTGCTGGGGAGGCACAACAAAAATGAAATTTTTGGAACTTGAGAGGACTCAAAGAGCCTTACTTAAGGTAATGTTCTTTAAACCCTATAGATACCCTACGCATGCCCTTTATTTATCAGCTGATCTTTTATCTGTTAGAAAACTTTACTTACTCCGACTCATACTGAAAAAACACATAACTCTCCCATACGACCATTGTAAGCCAAAAAACCGAAGAGACCATTTGGTCGCCCCAACTGTTAGGGTGAGATCTGCCTTTGCTAAAAGACAATACCCGAGGCAATCATCTTATTTATACAACTTGCTGAACAAAGAACTACGAATCTATCCCATGAAACTTTGGGACTGTAAAAAAGCTGTAATGGACTGGCTCAAAACAAAGACGTATGACGAAGTTGAGTCGGTTATAACCACTCTTTAATAACAGGATTATTAAAAACTGGGCTGGTGTGCATAGATATAATTAGTGAAGGTAATCTTTTCGGATTCCTTCGATCCCAAGACTTTGTCGTAGGGCTAATTGGTGAACTGGTTAATTAACAGATAAAAAAAAAAAAAGAAAACCATATATCTCAACTCACACAGTTCCTGATAATCTTACACTCATATTTGCACTCACTCTTTCACTCACCTACTCACTCAATCACTCATACACATACTCACTATACATGATTGACATACTACACATACATACATTGTGCGATCTAGTATTTTCATAATAACATTCATTGTCTCTGCGATTAGAATTGTAAGTTTAACTTGATTTATTTTCTTCTTGTTTTATTGTTAATCTTGCATGTTTACATTATCTTCATTGTAACTTCAATTACTTAGAATGTCATGTGGAAGTGCGGAGTCTCCTAACACAAGCAATCCATTGCTTAAAAGGTGATCTCCAATAATTTTATTTAATGCCTTTTGTAATTGAAATAAACTTTTTTTTTTATTTTTTTTTTTTTTTTTTTATTTTTTTTTTTTTATAACGGAACGGAATTACTGTAGAGTATAGTGATAGAAAAATTACACATTTATTATGTTACCAATATCGAATCCTAACATCTGAAACTCTAATCAACGTGTACCTAATTGATATTAAACAGGTACATCTTGATACATTGGGTCTATGCAGTTACACTTGCTAGCTAGAAGATTATATCTCAGGAACTCACCATTTGTAGGTTCTTCAAAATTAAACCGATCCATTAGCCATTCGACAAGATCATAACCTGGAAAGGAAAATATAAATAATTAAAATATAGTTTGAAAGATGTATAGAAGAAGAGAATATTAAATGTTTAACAACTTTTTCTTTTTCATCGCCTAAAAATATATTTCAGTTGTAAAATTGTAGATTTTTTATTTAACTTTATATATAAATACTTTAAATATCAATAAGTAATCACCAGAAATATTTTAAATATAAATATAAGATCAGGATACAATCAATGATCTGATTGTATTTCTATGGGATAGCTATAAAATGTTAATACGTAATTGAATGGGTTAAATTGATCATTCATGAGTCATGGTGGAATGAACAACCTTCAATTTTATTACTGATTCACTGTAGATAGGCATCTATGTAGTATCTAATGGCCCATCTCCGTGGCTATGCGATAGGTATCAACGTGGTAAGGAGGCAATCGTATATAATCGTGGTAAGGAGGACTGCCTCATTGACTAGCGACCACCTAGTCGCACTTGCGACCACTCGGCAAGTGCGACTGCCGGGCAAGGGGTCTCGGGTTCGATTCCCGGGTCGGGCAAAGTATTACTGGGTTTTTAAATATTCTCAGTAGTAGCACGGAGTCTGGAATTGTGCCCGGTATATGGCAATAGGCTCACCCCCTATTACATGGGACTCATAACATAAATAGTGAAAAGTGGGTGTTACATTGTACAGTGGCATTAAGTGCCGAAATGTGCACCTCTGCCTACCCCTTGGGGGATAAAAAGGCGTGATGTTATGTTATGTTATGTTATGTGTTTTCGGCTTATTCACGTAACTGTTTAACGAGGAACTCGACTGGTTTCAAGCCAGGCAGGGGCGTAGCAAGCGCTGTATCAGCCGTATCAATTATATGGGGCCCCCGGACTCAGGCGGACCCCAACGTGTGTAAGCCAGAATATAAAAACTTCTGAATTAATATTCAATTTCAGTAATCACAAAATGCATGCGTTTAAAGGTTAGCAGAACCAGAACCAGAAGAATGGAAGAAAACTATCTTCTATATATAGAAAAGAAAGTCGTGTTAGTTACACCACTTATAACTCAAGAACGGCAGAATAGATTTGGCTGAAAATTGGTAGGGAGGTAGCTTAGATCCAGGAGACCGACATAGGATACTTTTTGACCAACATCTTTTTTTATTTTACTTTTTACCGAAAATCACGAACGGGGACGGGAAAAAATGGGATTACGCGTACGAAGTCGCGGGCAGAAGCTAGTAATGTATAATAGAGAAATCTATTCCATGGCAGAAACTTTGGAGAAACTAAAGTAATCATTGTCCGATAATTTGAGCAGAGGGAGTTACAATATTATGTAAAAAATGTTATTATATGTATTATTTAAAAGAAAATGTCTACTGAGAAATATTTACCTTTCATAAGGGCCCCCAAACAAATTTTTATACGGGGCCCCCGTATAAAAATTTGTTTTTATACGCTATATATGTATATATGGGGATAGCCAAGATACGCTACGCCACTGAAGCCAGGCTAGAGGTTCAAACTAGTTCCAAACTAGTTCCAAGTCAAACAGTTACGTGGGTAAGCCAAAAACATAATAATTAATTTAGTATGTCTCACGAAAGTTGTAATATATACAAAAATATGACAGTTAGTTTGTTTGTTTGTTCCTCCTTCACGTCAAAATGGCTGAAGGGATTGGAATGGAAGTGGAAACAGGGGTAGATTACAGCTTGGAATAACATTTTTAAAGCTACAGGAACGCGGGTGAAACCGCTAGTTAAATATGAATATAGATTACAAGATATTAAGTAAAATGTTGCATAGTTATTTAACCTTCTTTAGTAAAAAGCATTGGAGTCATTAGAATTGTCAATAACCCCCAGTAGCAGCAGTACCTACTTGAAAAAAAACAGACAAACTCTCAATTTTGACTGCACAGTTGGTGCGGTGACTGGGCAACCGGCTGCCATGCAACGTGTCGCGGGTTCGATTCCCGCACGGAACACAAATTGTTGTTTCGGGTCTGGGTGTGATGTGTATGTGAAATTGTATGTATGTAAACGCACCCACGACACAGGAGAAAATCCTAGTGTGGGGCAACATTTTATTAAAAAATAAAAGAAAGAAAGAATTTCCAAAGAGTCATATAACGCACGTAAAGATTAACATCTTTGTTTTATATTTTGAGCTACTGATTTACCTTATTATATTTGTACTAAGTTCTACCAGTGACTGTCTCCGGGATAAAATTTGTCGATTCAGACCGTTGTATCTATGTGTGAGTAAGTACTGTTTTAATTAAAGACCTTAGCTCTAAACAGACGAACCGGATTGCTCGTTTGGTTTGGGACCGTTTGCTCATGACTGCAATAGAACTGCAATCGGACTGCACGTTTGGTTTGCAGTTCAATTGCAGTATAGACACGACCGCATCCGAACTGCAATTTGCGGTTGGATTACAGTTGAAATACGGCCCGTCTATCTAGAGCCTAACGAACATACATACATCTATCCTCACAAACTTTCTCATAAATAATATTAGTAAGAAGCAGGAGTACAAAAATAAGATACGAAATATAAACGTCAACTTACCCATAAAGGCAGACGGAATAAGAGTGAGAAATAGTTTTTGACTTCTTACTGGAACCCCTGAGTCTGGGTCTTGCATTTCTTTTATCAGGCTTTCCATCTGAAATATATAAAATTTGGCTTAGTAAATGTCCATCAAAATTGTAAACACACGCATGTTACAGCTTGACTAACAAAACAAAATTAGGGTCGACTGTAGACTAACAAAGTTTTCCAGACATTAGACATTTGTTAATTCTGTTTCCAGTATACTTTAGACCACATCTGAGAAAGTACTTGTGTGGATTCGACTTTTAATATTGACATTTTACATGGTGTTACAGTTTAAAGAGTTTAAAAACACGTTGCTTCATTCTTCTTCAAAGTCAAAGTCAAAGCATTTATTTCAATTAAACCATAGTTTGGTACTTTTGAAACGTCAACAAATACAAAATAAATAATAGTCTGTCAGTCAGTCCGTCAGTGAAACTAGGTGAAGCTAGGTGCTCATTCCAAAAAGTAGATTCGAATGGAGAAGAACGAGCAAGATACTCCATTCGTTACTCTTTTTAAAAAAGTATGTTCTACAATGTCTCTGATACATATTTCAATACTGTACGCATATGTAAGAACAATGCAAAGACACGCTTGACGCATTATACTAATAACTTACTAAAATAAAAAATTAAAAAATCTTAAAGTCCAACATGGTGCTCACATATGCATACTGACAATCCATAGAATTAGTGCTTCATACAAGAAAAAGGAAACTTTGTTGTTTGTCAATAAAGAAATGCTCGATGCCATAAGGAAACTAGATTGTCTACATTAGAATTAAAGTGTTAAATTATGTATTAAATTACCTACTATTGGAATTTAACTACTGACTACATTTGAGTATTGTCCATCTTAACAGTGCTTCTATTGAGTTTACAAACACACTATTGAACATGTAGGTATGTTAAGCAACCTTTTTTTAAACGAAAACTCTTTAAACTATAACATTACACTTAAACCAAGAACTGGGGATCATACAAAGAATTGTTCCATGCTGAAATCAAACCCGAGAACCACTGAACCTTTGAAATATTATCTTTTTAAAAGAAATAATGATATAACTAGGTTACATTATTGTTTCTTAGGCAATGTTCAGGTTTTATAAAGATACAATCCTTACTAATATTATAAATCGGAAAGTGAGTTTGTTTGTTTGTTTGTTTGTTTGTTCCGACTTCACGCCGTAATTACTAAACCGATTGCATTGAATTTTTGCAGACGGTAAAGTTAGAAGTCCGGATTAAATAATAGGGTACTTTTTATCCCGGAAAAATTTGATATTCCCGAGAGAAAACAAAAGTATTAGTATAGATGGCGCTGTATGTATGGGTATATGTCACATAGGCTACTTTTTATACCTTTGTGACGCGAGCGGAGCCGCGGGTAAAAGCTAGTAAATTATAAAGTATGAACAGGCTGCGATCATATCACAGCATTGTACTAGGTACTAAAAATTTACGTGAGAAGAAATATACCCGCCATTATCCTATAGTATGACTAATTAACTTGTCGATCGGACTGTTTTATTTATGCTCGATAACATACAACAAGAGTTCTATACAATGGATCCACATGCAAACATTACAACAATGCAAACTAATTTACTAATAGGTACCGATTACTAAGATATACAGGGTATCCCTGGAAGTATGGCTCAAACTGAACAGGGATAAGGAGGTCGTTTTGTTTCGTTCTTTTTTATCTGAAGATATAGATCAACAGTTGAACCTCGTAAGTTTCAAATTTGGTTTTTTCAGGTGGGTATTGCCAATTTAATTTCAGTTTCCAACAAATGGTCGTTTTCGTTTATTTAATTTGCATTGTAGGTACTATGTATTTAAGGCTGAAATAAACAAAAAAAATTGTTAACTTTAGTTCATACAAGTTCAATCCATACTTCGAGGGACATGCTGTATAAAACGTTCGTATCAAATTGTTTGAAAACTTCCCGTCATTAAAATAAATAATCAATAATACCAAAAATACAACGTTAAAACTGAAGTGTCCGTAGCGAGATATTGTAGGAGTCTCTTATAAAAATGCTTATGCAAGAAAAGTTAAATCTGTAACAACTTAACAAGATTTAAAGTATCGTTGATGACGTCATCCGCGTCCTTTTAGGTCAACGTGCACTTGAGTTGGCCTATAGGGGTGTTGAGGGCTGTCCACGTCGCAAGTGGCTGACCCTGCGGTGAATGCCGGCCGAGAAGAGCCGAGAGTGGCCCTCAAGTGTCTGGGGGCCGCGCGGCCGCCCCCCATCGGGGACAAAGCCAATGCAGCAAACATTTTTTTTTTAATATATCGAGAGCGCTTATTGTTTTCAGTAGTTGACATATTAAATAATATTATGGTAATAACTTGTGCGGCGTAATTACGCAATTCAATACATAGAACGCTGTAAGAAATATGCTATGAATTTTTTTAGATCCAGAGTCACGATTGATCACCTCATTCAAAAAATCTAGCATTCATAAACTTTATTGGTTATTCATAGAGACCTTCAAAGTGGTAATGATTGACTCATTGTATGAACTATTTTCTATGTAGGTAATTCAATTATTTGATTTCTTCGTGGATTATTTGTACATACATTGAAGTGAACCGAGAGAATCATGAATTCTTACGTGCACGCTACGTACGTGTTGTCATGTCGTACAACAATTTAATTTGGCCATATGATGTCATACATAGGTGATTACGTGTCTAGATTGCGACACCGAATCATAGTTAAATGATTAAATAGGTCCCATAACTCGTACTCAATCAGAGACAATGTTCGTCGCGATTCTCGGTTCCAGTAATGAATATTATGTTTGTCTGATATGGATCATCTCGGCTAAGGACATTGGCAATCAGTTGGTAAAATATTTGTTATAGAGCACTGTTTGATGGGGGGTGGACGTTGATTTGACCGTTCGTCCTCGAAGATGGGAGCTGTAAGGCTAAGTGAGTGACGTCACGGGCGCGATCGATTCCCCGGCGCCGAAGAGGTGCGGCGAGTGTGGCGGAGCGCGGGGGGCGGGGTCACATCTCGCGAACCCGAACGTCTTCGCCACCACCTCGGCCACCTTCGTCGCGATTTTACGTACGACCCATTACACCTACAAATTGTTTTCTATACCATACATGCTTAAGGCAGCTTAGATTCAGTATAGAAGAAAAAAAAGGGAATCATCGAGGCAATCTTCGGGCATGTCCTTTAAATGGTTGTAATATAATGTAGGTACGTATAGAAACATGGCTTGTACATAAAGTGACAAAACCTAGTTAGTGTTGGCATTTTAACGATAGAGTTTCTTTCTCCTTCTCCATACGAATGCACATTTTGAAATGAGCGCCTAACTTCACTGCTGAACTGACTGACGCACAAATCTATTCGACGTTTCCAAACTGCTTGTATATAGGTGGATTTTAAATAAATGGCTTTGATTTTGACTTTAGGCACTTAATTTCCGATTGAAAGATTTTTTATTTCTGTTAAAATGAAGTGATTAACTTAAGAATAAAACACAGTTTTGACTCTAATGCATTATGGGTTAGGGCGGCGGGGCGCACGGTGTGTGGGCGGCTCCCGGGTGAGGCGGCCCGAGCCTTTTTGCATTTTCGCTGAGTCTTGTTCAATTAATGAAATATTTTCACCCGACAGAGTAAAATTCGTAATAAAAACGAGCGCTCAAAAGTGGAAGGGTTTTATAAAACATCGAATTAAAATATTACATATCACTATTATATCAGTGTTGCTTTATTGCACGCCCTGTAGCAAGCCACACGTCATCATACTATTTTTAAATATAGGTACCTTAGTTTTCTTTTCCAATTTTTATTTTACAAGACATATTTTTACTTTGTAACAGGTATAAATAGGTGACAAATTAAGAGTGATCGTAGAGTGCCACACACACACAACCTCCCCTTTATTTCTTGTTGGGGTTATAAAGAGTTTGAGCCTTTAACACTTTACTTCAATGAATCCATACAACCGACGAATAATAAGCTTCTTGGAAACAAACCGTCGCGTCGTTGTTTAGTATTTAACCCTCTATTGTTAAGGGCGTCTCACGCCGCGCGCCGTGACAAAGACTAATGGCGTATATGGGGTTCTATTACAATCGCCTATACACGGAGTTAGCTTGTAAATCAAAGTCATTAGCACGAGTAATTACTATTGTTGTTATAAATTACGGTATTTTTATATGTTGTAGACGATAAAGTGAAACAATATTCACACTTTCTACGTAGAAATAGATTGTACAGCCAATCACGCAGTTCTAGCCCTCAACGCTAGAATTGTACTGTATTTATAGAATGCTAAAGTTTCGTCAATATTTTACCTATTCTCCAATACGAGAGGATATAAAGTGATCATCTGTATGTATAGTAATGTATACTGCCCAAAGTGCTCCAAGCATCAGTGTTTGTAAATATTACCCGATCACACTTTGATGCTTGTGCAGTGTTGATTTATTTAGAACTACTATTTTTAACTGTAGAAGCCAAAGCAGGAACGAAATAAACATTTTTCAATTTCAGAATACGAAATACTAATTAATTTTGTCCAATTATCTGATGAATCTTACTAATTCTACAACGTTTCAGTTATTATTTACGCTGCTGTATATTACGACGAGCAGGAGCCGCGCGCTGTTATCTTGTATTATGTACCGAATATATAGCGCTGTAGCGACTGGTACACTACGAGCAGCTCCGTCGGAAGCAAACCCTATCGATTTTCAGACAGCAGCAGTAGGCTCGGCGCCCGGCGCCCGGCGCCTGACGACGATTGTGTTAAAAATAAAACGGGGTAAAGCACTGCCTACCTCCTCCACGCTGCATAATGTAGCGACTGTTGTAACTCGCCTCGAATATAATATGTAAGAGCCGTTATTGCTGTAATGTTTGCGTGTTTCGTGGACGAGCATCTTGTTGTAATAATGACAGAAGAGTAAAGTTGTTTGGCGACAGAAATATTATACATGAGTCATTGAAACATCATAGTTATTGATATACACATTCTGTTTCCTATAAATTAAACATTCAGTAAGTGGTATACTGACCTTATCGAAGGCGAGGGGTCGGTGTCGAGGCACGTCAGCGAGTTCCATGGCTTCGGCGGGGCGGGGCAGGGGTAGCGGGCGCGGGGGCTGCGCGCGCGCCGCTAGCCGACCTCCATGGGCGTCTGCCGTCGGGGCCGCATGCCGCTCGCGCCCGCGCTGCGCCCCCGACACCTGACCAACACAACGGCCACCACTACTCGTTACACTCGGACCGACCGACAACCCACATCTCTCACCAGGACAACTAAATTCATACATTCATAGCCGAATGAAACTAGCTTTCTCCGTGCGGCCGCGAGCACTGCACTGCGCCCGCCAAGCTCGACCGGTGCCCGTCAGCTTGATGAGATCAGTCCGTTAAAATGTATAAATGCATCGATCACTTGCATTTAATTACGTGCGTGTGCTCGTTAGCCGAGGCACTAAGCACAGCTACAGACTTATACTGTGTGACTACAGCGCTGTCATGCTAATCGCGATCACGATGATACTAGTGGCATTACAAGCAATTAATTGGAACCTTGGATGTAGTTTGTATATTCTTAGCAGGCTGTAATCTGCGACTACGATGTTATTGTCATAAGTTAGAATTAAACGTAGCAGAGCCAGTCTAAAGGGTGTTCATAATTTTACATCGGGTTGATTAAATAATTATGTCGTACTCGTACCTACTACATGTCAGCGTATACTTTATATCTACCCGTGTTACTAGCTACTGTGCATTTGTTGTGAAGCTGGTGATTAACATAAACTAACATTGTCGAGCGCCAAACAGAAAGAAGATTATCAAACTATGTACATAAAAGTGGTTAAAGATTTTTCCAACTATTCTAAGTAATGAGTAGCAGGCAACATTCTCAGATACGTAACTATTTTCCAACTGCCTTATTTAAACACAGAATGTAGGCTCCATACGTCTTGACACTCGAATGTACAGAAATGCAAAGAGGTACCTAAAGTGAAGTAGTCCTCACATCACATGTGTCCCACGTCTTCCTCTGCTCACGATTTTCTGCATTCCTTCACCGTTCATACCTCACTACTATAATTAAACCTGTGTTTATTTAACAGTGGGCACACACCTACATGGCGGGCATGTCGGTATGTGACCAAATTAGATTTGTGCCTAGCACATACACGCGGAAAAATTATAAACCATGGTCAAGTGCGTGTTTACGACACTCGCTAAACTTTGCTAATGGACACAGCAATGTTTGCGTGCTTTGAATGTTCTAATTGTATGCAACCTCATTAGTGGCCAGATATTAAACTAATAATGAGTCATTGGAGTCAACGCTTCAAATTATTTATTCGACGGCTGACAGACTGATGTAAGCTTGTTTCCTGCGAAATTAGAAGTTTCCTTGTTATTTTGCACGGTTGCGGCGTTGATAATAATTTGTTTTCCTCTTTATTAACAAAGTTAAATGTTACGACTTTAAAATGTTTGTTATACCTATTAATTAATATAATTATAATGAAATCATTAAATTAATTTTCGTTCGTTTAGATATTTTGGAGACTTGTGATTATTGGCTGAAGTTAATAATCAATCTCTCCAAAGTCTGTGAATAAAGATCGATTTATGACATTAGTTCTATGATCCGGAGTTTGTATCAAAAACCGAGATCGGGCAAGAGAGAGACGTAACTTATATAATAAGGTAAAGGATCCTATACTCAATATATTCAGTCTAGGAGCTCGTTGGTTTCATTACACTCATCCAAATACCCAACCTTACATAGCGACCCTGCCAGGATCATTATGATCGGTTATTAACTTCGGCCATACATTGAGTGCAAAGATTTGAAATGTAGGTAACCGACCTCCAAAATTACCAAATTCAAAACAATTGCCACCAAATAATGGTCAAGAGTCTTCTATAACACCCAAATGGACGGGGATCAAATAAATGAGTTATATTAGAGTACCTATGTAATTGATAGATGTTTATACTTATAAATGTTTGACATCAACTAAGTGTACCTTGACTAGCCATGCCGGTGAATTCACGAACTCGTCTAACGAACTCATCTGATTGTCGCTCTGAAAAATTATATCGGCATGCGTTTATAATCGGTTTTATAGTTGGTTTAAAATTGCAATTAAATGTAAGAGGATACAATAAATCCCAGATTAAAATAAACAATTTTAATAAACTGTAGTAGCACTTTTAAATAAGTTAGATAAGAAAAATCATCAGTGATTAAATGATTAACAAACAAAGTGATGTAAGTTTCATAGAAATTCTAAGTACATGTACAAAAAATATCACTAACCTCATCCAACAATCGAGATCATAAATATGTGGCGCATCGTGCGTCACTGTGATAGAGCTCATTGATCGGATCTAAACACACGTGGCCACAAATCCGCGGCACCTCGGCCATGTTGTAAACATGTGCACTGCCTGTTTATACACGCTCGAGTTAAACGATTGACATAAATATAGATCTCTGACGGGCGACGGCTGAGTGCGCCTCCACTCGCAACGTTCGACAACTCGCTATTGTTTAGCAACCGACAGACGCCGACTGACTCACAATATCTTCTGATAAAACAGATAACGCTGCGTCCAACGTTAAATCTCTCCTCAAGTCGTAAATTTTAGAGTCATAGGGGAATTTTGGGAGGCTTAAGCACCTTAAGATAAGTGAGATAAGTGCTCGACGTCGTCGTACGCGAGAGGCACCCCGTATGAATAATAACTCCAGCATAGGCTGTAACGTCTCCATCTCATGTTACGTTGCATTGAAAATCATGACCTTATTCAGTATTTCTTTTTGCGTAGGTTTATTTTATAGGCAGTAAGTACTGACTCAATCACAATATTATTTTTTCAAATGTAAACCAGGTGGGTTTGTCATTGTCAAAATATGATTACAGTGTTGATAAATAGATGAATAGATACTGATATTTGTGTTCACCATCTCGCGTTTTCAATGCCCTTGGAAAATAAGGACTAGGTAGTAAAGCCATAGATAGTGTATTATTAATATCTATCAACGCAGACTGACAATACCATTATAAAAGAGCTGCTGTGGAATCTGTTTCAAAGTACAAAGCATTTAGAATTTGTCATTAGGAACTCGATAAAAGGAATGTTCTCTTTTCTTCATAATTTGTCTGCATTCGTAAAGATAATGTACCAAAATGAACTAAGTACCTACCTATTAATCGGAAATTCGGAAACAAGTGTATATTTGGTTTAGATTTTTTTATTAAAGTTTATTGAACTAAAAGACAATTTGTTACGTTTTGTTATGCATTAATTTCTTTTAACCTTCTACAGCCTGAATGTATGCCACGTAATAGTAGTACATATAGTGTAATGTAGCTATAGTTGTAATAAACGCAATGTGACTTTCTTATATCGTATTTTATTTACACACAGTAATCTTTTGATTTCAAACTAAATGCAGTTCACTCTCCGCTTGTAGTAATTTTATTTTATTGGTAAACTGAATTTACTAATCATTGTCACATTTGCACGTTACGATTTTTAATTCGATTTTTTGATTTCATTATACAAGAAGATTGTACTAAAAATCACAAAGAACAAATCTTGATACATTTGCTGTAAAAATATACCTAAGTAAGTATAATGAAACTCAAATGATGATAAGCCTGCCTACCGACAAACTAATATATCTTTGAAAGAAACCGTCCCGTGTGACTACTATCAAAACTGAATCAGATTTGCCATTAATTGAACCCAATATCTTGACCTAAACCTGTTGAAATATCATCCTGTAAATTTGTTCAAACAAAAGTAGTCTCTAAACAACGGAAATAAGGTCTATAATGTAGTGAATGGAGAGCGGTCACCGGTGACCGCTTGGGGATAAATGGGTTGGATTAGTAAGAGTGCTTTCAATTACAAGACTATATTTCTGAGATCTAAGCTTAGGGTTTCCTATTCAATGGATGATGGCCCTCAAAAAAAGATTTTTTTAAGGGGTGAAAATCATCGAATGATCTGCTCCTGCCTGGGTGAGGCGGGAGGGAGTGTCAGACTCTTACTGACTAAAAACCACTCCGTTTCTTCTCCTGCACGTCGAGCCGTAGCCCCGGTTACCCGTTAAGTTCTCAAGTAATCAAGTATTTATTGCATCCATAATGTACATATACAGGTGGTTAGAAAATATAATTATGTGAAAAAGTAACAATTATGGACCCTGTCGGGCACAGCAACATTTAAAATTGGTAGGAGAGAGGAAGGGCATTTTGTTAGATTAATATTAATATAATCAAAAATTTGTAAAAATTTCACCGCGACTCAAAAAAAAAGGTTTTTTTTTTTTTTAAAGGGGGGAAAATCATCGAATGACTGCTCCCGCCTGGGTGAGGCGGGAGGGAGTGTCAGACTCTTACTGACTAAAAACCACCCCGTTCCTTTTCCTGCACGTCGAGCCGGAGCGTCGGTTACCCGATGGTTCTACGCGACTCAAAAAAAAAAGGTTAGGGTTACGCGACCAACACGATACGCGACGTGTAAAAGTACTTAAACATTGTAATTGTCATGCTCCCTATTTCACCAACGATTACATGTACCTATATAGGGTACCCACAGTCACGTGTCCATACCCATTTATGTATGACAATCACAGCTATTATCCGGATACGGTTTGCAAGCAATAATACTACACATTATTATAAAACCATGTCTTATATGGACCTGAAGGAGTTGCGTCACCGTCAACCTTAATATCTAGGTACTCATACAGGTAACTTATGGCTCTTACTTTTTAACACTCTTTTGTTAGGTCGACCTGTAACAAACTATGCAATAAAAGCTAGAAATCTGACTAACAGACGTCTAATTCTTGTATCATCGTGTTTAGATGACTACACCATAAAACGATATTTTCATTGTCCTGTAATATCGAGGGTGCAATATTAAAGCCTGATTTTAGGTTTTTTAACTACGAATTTCTTAAGGCGCGGGTTCTGAATAATGTTACAGAGCAATTAAAGACCGTTTCGTTAGACATGCGCGCCACAACCTCCCAAAACCAATGCAACTCCTGTAAGCCAGGATCCACAGTAGATACATCCATGAAAACACCGCAACACTGAAGTCCCAGGGACATGAATAACTGTCTTGATTAATGATTCTCATAACAAAATTAATCAGAACATATTATAAGAGGAGACGAAGAAAACGATAG